GAGCCAATTAACAGTCTCTTCAAAGATTGTAAGGAGATCCATTATTTGAAAAAGTCCTAGTAATTAAAAACTATAGTGTCAGCTGATTAGAAACTAATGAAATAAATGAAGGAACTGGAGTCTATTTGAATGACCTCCCACCCACACTCCACTCTTGACTTTCTGTCTGATGTCCCATTGTCTAAGTAACAAGCCTTCAAAACTGTTATCGAGTGGTTCTGACAGGCAATCATATTTTACCTTTGATTTTCTTTTCTTCTTCCTTTGATACTAACAAGATTTTGTTTAACAAACTGTGGAGCGTAGCTCTAGTTCTCTTTACTTAATTGTTTTAACTATTGAGAAAACAGTTAATACAATCAACAGTCATTGAATACCTACCACATAAAAGGGATTATGTGGAGGGTATGAGAGTTAGAAGACTGTAAATAAATAATGCTACAGTTTAGTGAGTAAAAGCAAAGGTGTTGAAGTCATAAAACCACAATTAAATTCTTGTCTTTCCTCATAGCATACGTGTGACCTTGATGAATCACTGCATTCTTCTAAGTCACGTTTTAATAATGACTGCCTCCCAGGATTGTCATAACAATCGGGTGAAAAAGCTTAATTCACCATTTGGCTCAGAGTAAGTGATCAACAAATGTAGCTAGTTTATAAAGGAAAATCTTCAAAGGAGATAGAAGTATAGAGAAATCGATAGGAAACTGAGAAACAGAACCAGGCAGATATTTGAAAGTGGCAAAATGTACAAACTATAAAACTTCAGCAAAAGGACAGGCTAGTTCTAGATGAGTATTTTTCTTCTTCATATTCTTCACAAGAATACCACAGTCAAGAATTTGCTGAGCTACTGTAATTCCACCTCAAACCATGTACAAAAAGCGGAGTTTGAATTTAGAATCAAGCCTCTTGCTGGTTCCTTAGAAACTCGGAGAAATATTTGTATCTTGGCTCATCCAAGATGAGTGATTTTTACATTAAGCAGATTGTTAACTCTAATCATTTGAAAAGACATTCTACCATATTAAGAATACTTCACTTAATAAATACAACATGTAAATTACACTGCTTAAGTGGATTGGGAAGGAGAGGCTGTGAGAATTGGCTAGCTCCTCAAGAAATTTGCTCTGTAGAAATTTGCTCTCTTAACCAGTCCCTTCTCCATCTTCAACTTCCATAATTAAGAACAATGGTAGGGGTAACAGAAACCCAGAAATAGAGATTGCTACTTTGTTTGTCATTTCATTAATTTACAAAATGTTGAATCTGTAACAAAGTACTCAAATAAGAGTTAAAATAATGAGAATCACAATCATGACAATTTATAATTCTTAATCTATTTACATTCTGATTCTTCATAATCGTGCTGCATCAAGAGAAATGGTTTTGCCCAAATATTAACAAAATACCTTCAAACTACAAATGGTATTCAACAGCTGTTGTATTATCATAGAAACCCTATCCAATTTTCAGATTTATACGATTCAGACGTTTTAAATCTTATAAACTCCTTGATTTTTAGCAGAGTGCGTTCTTTTATTTGCTAGGAGGCATTTGTCCATTCCTAACCTTTTTACCTTCAGAAAATAAATGACATGTGTGACTTGAAAATTGAATCAATCTTGACTGAAAAAGAAATAATAAAAATAGCTAATGTCTTTATCATCTCCACAGCAAGCCTACGGGGCAGACACTGTTGCTGCTTCAGTTTTGTAAGATGCATTATATCGTGCTAATCCTCAATAAATATGAAAAAGTGATCATTTCACAGCTAAGAATTGACAAACTGGAACACATTTCTCATTTGAATAGACAAGATAAGCAGGTTGCCACCAGTGCTGCCATCTCTGCCTTCGGGTGTGTTGTGTCCCCGGCAGACACTGTTGGTTCATTCTTAGGTCACTGCTATCTCATTTCTATTTGTCTATTTCTGGACCAGAGCTCGGATTCACATTCCAGGCAGCCGCCTGTCTTAAGGACCATTCTGCTACCTACCTTCTGTGACATAATTTAAAGAAATGAGTACCCCCAATTAAACTATTCCAGGTGTAAATTTCTTGCCTGGAGAGAGAATTGAGAAAGGAATGGGATTCATGAATATAAATTGGGCTCTCTTTACGTTTAAGTTTTCATTTTGAAATTGTGGAGTGTTCACTGTCCTCATAAATCCTTATTTGCTTTAAGTGTGTTTACAGTGGGAACCCCAGTGCAGAGCTGGTAGCCCATTGCTATGCATAACTGAATATTAAAGTTCACAAATCATCAGGCGGAGGAGGCCTGGGAGGGGGATGCTGCGGCAGCGCCTCTGCATCTGTGCTGGCAGCAAAGATGAATTCCGCTCTCACTGGCTCTGAGCCTTTATTGGGATGGGGCTCCCCAGCCTCCCCACTCTTTTCCTCTCCTTGAATGTTATTCGATGTTTGCTTCCTCTTCCTACCAAGACATTCTGTTTTCTGAATGTCTTAACAGCTCTGTTATTTTCCTTTCACCCAGTTTTGGTTTAGAAGCTGGTGTAATAGATAAATCTCCTATAGACCACCTAAATTTGTTTTTGAACAGGTAACTCTGTGAAAGGATGGAAGGATTCAATCAGGAAATACATAAATAATCTTCAGACACTAGGTGATACCCTCCTCTCTCCTCCCCTTTCCTCTACTCCTCCCTTCCCTTCCGCTCCTGTATTTGCTTCCACAATAGCTGTATGTGTTCTGCAAATGATCCATTGAGGCCAACTGGGCTTTCTTGTATGATAAAATATTAGCCAAAATATTAAATGACTCTTCTCTCATTTTCAACTTGTGCTTTAAATCTTCAGCACAAGTCAGGGTTAGGGTTAGGGTTGGTTAGGGTTAGGGTTAGAAATAAGGCCCTATTATATTCACAATTATATGGACTTGAGAGTGAGTTCACATTGCCTGCTCTTTGCTGTAGAACAAAGTGGTAAGGAAGTCTGTTGGTTGTAAGTTTTCTATAATTATACTAAGTTATTTTTCTTATGTATATAATAATTCATGCTACAAAGAACTTGATGTGGTTTGGAATAATATCATAATAAAATGGTAAATTGGCCACAAAATTTTTCAGGGCAACTGGATATATGAATTAGAATGGAAGATCTAGACAATGAAAAACAATAGAAAACAATTATTCTGCAATTAATGTTAAAAGAAATTTCTCTTAAAGTGCCTCTGCGTTTGAGGCCTTCTGGGAGGTAGTGGTAACAGTAATGGCCTAGGTTGTATTTCTTCTTCCCAAATCTGATGGTTTTTCCCTATTGCACAAACTGTAAACATCCTAGGTATGCAGACTTCAGAGCTGGTATTGTTAGTCTTAAATAGACCTGCTCGGCAAATTAAAGGAAAGCTTTGACTTGTGGACATAATGTAGTGGGAGGGAAGATGGCCATTACCCTCAAATATATTCATAATATGTGGTATCTTTATAAGAACTTAAAAATTCAATAAATTAAAACCACTGTGAAAATGAATTAAAACGAATATTAGGAACATAAAACAATAAGATACATAAAGAAGGTCAAAGGGTTAAATCACACACTGGCTCCACTCACCAATTTTAGGAACAGCCCAGACCTCCCAAATTAGCCTTTTCCCTAACTTGCTCTATCAGGTATTCCAAACTGAGGACAACTTGCTTCTATCTCATTTGATGAACTGAGCTGATCTCTTAATTCAGTGACTATTTACAAGCCACATTTCTACAGTATTTCTGAAATGAATGAAGGTGTATTTTTGTATATCAAAGGATAGTTAATATTGTCTTCTGTAAAGACTATAATTTTATCCTTCTTCAATATAATGTTAGAACTCTCACTTGCACCCAAAATATAGGTTATTTATTAATGATGTATATTGATTAGGTATTTTCTTTTACTGTTGCTTTCAATTTGGAAAATCTGGTTATAAAGCTTAGCTCAGTGTTTGTTAAGAAAATCTAGAATTTTAAAGATTCTTCTCTCCAAGAGAATTGTATTCAGACAACAGTTCTACTTATTCTCAAGTACTCAACATGGTTAATAATATAAGCTCTGGAAGGACCTTAGTTTACAGCATAAAGTTTCTGTTTCATTTCTCTACCGCTATGTCATTTTCACCTAAATCATAATGTTCTTTCCAATATTTATAAGAACAATTCAAATCCTTCTTCTAAAAATGCATTTTAAACCACTCATTGTGGTGAGGATTACAATAATTAGAATAAATCAATTCTGGTCTACTTAAAAAAGAAAGAAAAGAAAGCCAAACAACTGACTCACCCAGAAGGACACAAACAGATAAATTTTTTAAATGTTGCATTCTCTGTTATTTATTATATATACATGGTCACTTATTGGAGTGTTTTAGCAGAACATTCTCTTGGAAGCTGGTGGTTAAACAGAATAAAAGGATGGCATATCTTTCACTGACTATTGCCTTTTTGTCTAAGGCAATGGATAGAAAATTATTCAGGGTAGTGAATCATTTTGTTCAATAGGACATAAAAACATAGAATTCATGGAAAGTTATTAGGCTATTTGATGGTTTCTGTGTGAAATGAATTAGTCCAGGAAAATGGGATAATAAGGGAAGGGGTTAATCTATTAATAATTTTAAAATAACTTGCTAATCTGTGAATTGTCCAAATATCATTGAAACCAAAGAAAAAGCTATATATGAAAGGTATAATAATTTGTAGCAGTCAACTCATATGAGTACAAGCTTCTGTGTTGGTGCCACGAAGACTTTAATATTGTCATGCGTGTTCATTGGACCATTGTGCATAACATTAGAAGTGTTGGTGAATTTTTGAAGCCATAATCTTGTTAACTCTTAGAAGTAAAAAATACATTCTTAGGAAGTAAACGTGTGGATAACAAACACATTCCTGATACGGAGATTGAGATGTCTGAAGCTTGCCTTTTGAACAAATGCTCTTTGCCCACAAGACATCACTTTGTTTGTCCTGGCACAACCAGTTCAAACGGTCGCTTGTCTTCACAGGTTACCAGCCAGTCCTGTCTGGTCAACAGGGGTTCCAAGGCCTAATGGGAGTGCAGCAGCCTCCTCAGAGTCAGAGCGTGATGAGCAACCAACAAGGAACTCCGGTGCAAAGCGTGATGGTTTCCTACCCAACAATGTCTTCTTATCAGGTGCACATAAGCAGCTTGGAAGATTGTGGGTTATATAGTAGCACTTGCCAAAGTAGAAGATGTGGGTATGTCCCTGTGTTGGGTGGTTGGCTGGGTCGTGGGTGCTCGGCCCAGCTGCTGTTGATAATTGACTTTGAATCAAGATTACAGTAGAAAAGTAAAAAATGAAAAATATATGCGTCTATAACTACTATGTCTTTAGACTGCCCTGGTAAGTTTGTTTCCACATAAACTTTCTATTCATGAAAGAAAATTCATTAGTCTAAAGTTCTATTCATAAAGACCTTTGGGCATTTTATTGAAATTTTGCTTATTGGTAGAATGACAAAGTCCCATTCATTTTTGCACATATCCAAAGAAACTTCATTTTTCCATAATTTTAAGTTGTATTTTAAAATGGCATTTCAGATTCATTTAAGGCAGTGGTCCCCAACCTTTTTGGCACAAGGGACCAGTTTCATGAAGACAATTTTTCCATAAACCTTGGGGGAGAGGGAAGAGGGTGGCACCAGAGCTCTGTGGCCCAGTCCCCAGTCTGTGGCCTGCAGGTTGGGGACAGCAGACTTAAAGGGCATTTATGGGGCATAACAACTGCATTTTGCAGACTAAACCCAAGTTGAGTATTTAGAAGGTGTTATGTACCCTTTTGTGATTTACATCCCGAAGTACCCCAAAAGTAGAAATGAAGAGTCAGTGAAGTGCTTTAATTATTAAATTTAGCTGTACCAGTTACTTCTTACCCTAAAGTACCTATCTTACGACCTCCTACTCTGACTATTCTTGCTCACATTACATCGACTTCTACCCCAGCTCCGCATTAGGTGTTTTCTAAAGCTGCATGCAGGTGGAGAGTTTTGTAGGTGCCCAGGACAAAATCCCCTTTTACCATGTAAGGCTTCAAGTCACTTTGTTTGTGTAAAACCAGAAAGGAAGTATGGCTTTCCAAACTGAGAGAAATCCAAGATAGGAGATCCAAACTGCAGTCCCTGCAGGACATCAAGAGAGAAGAGGGAAGGCAGCTCAGAAGTAACACCTTCTGAGCATCTACTGCATGCCAGGCATTGTGCCAGGCACTGTATGCCATCTCTGCAATTCTTTCAATGAAAATTCAAAGTAGGTGCCATTATCCAAATGGTCTAGGGAATCAGAGAAGTTAAGTAACTTTCCCAATGTGAAACAGCTGATCAGCGGCAGAGCTGGGATTGGTGACCTGTTAGATCTAACACAAAAGCTTGACTATTTTTCATGAAAGCACACTGTTTATTGTATACCCCAAAATAGCCTCTTTATGCAAGGGTTCTTGCTTGTGTCTTTGTACAGGTGCCAATGACCCAGGGTTCTCAAGGACTGCCCCAGCAGTCATATCAACAGCCAATCATGCTACCTAACCAGGCAGGTCAAGGGTCACTTCCAACCAATGGAATGCCTGTTTACTGTAATGTCACACCGCCAACCCCTCAGAACAACCTTAGGCTGATTGGCCCACACTGCCCCTCCAGCACCGTCCCTGTGATGTCGGCTAGCTGCAGGACAAACTGTGCAAGTATGAGCAACGCTGGTTGGCAGGTCAAATTCTGAGAGCTCCGGCTGTGGTGCATTTCTTCAGATATTACTCATGGCCTTTAAGGGAAGAAGAAGAACATGGGAAAACTGGCTGAGGACTTAAGTATTCACTCAACACTCAAATGATTGCTGCTGGTATTCTGTAAAAAATAAACAAAGACTAATACACATGTTAGCTGGTTAATGGTGCATATTTCTGTCATGTCTGCTAGGTATGCATTTATAGCTTAGCTAGTGACATGAATTCATCAAGGTAAGATTTTCTCCTACCACTGAATACCACTGTGTAGATTATAATATCCCTAATTTGAATTAGTTTTGTACTTTGTGTTGAGTTTGTGATGCTAAAAGTATTTAAAAATTATATACTGAAATCACATTGTACCAAAGCTGTAATGGAAAAGAAAAGAACTGATGAATGGAAGGAATAATTTATATACACTATAGAGTTTTCTTTTTTAATGGATATATACTGTATTGTAGTGTTTAACCAAAATAAAACTATCTGACCTTATAAAGGAAGGTCATGTTTTTACCATCAGTTTTTTCACTCTCTCTTTCAATGTGTATTTATTATGTGTCACTGTTATCCCTTTTGAGCACTGTTTTATGAATAATGCATGAAAAAGATGCTGCGGGTATTTGTAAGTGAACTGGCATCACATGGGGAGATGTTGCAGGCAAAGACTTAACCAACTGTAGTTTATTGTCATAATACTACGGGGGTCCTGAAAATAGGATGGCATCCTTTCATTCATTGCTTGAGTTCACAATTTTGAAATATATACCTTGCCTTAGGTATATAGCGGTGCCCAACCTTTTTGGCAGCAGGGACCATTTTCATGGAAGACAATTTTTCCATGGACTGGGGGGGTGGGA